GCACTTTCAAATACGGTGGGTTTTCACAATCGCGTCAGGTTGGCTTGATGGGAAGAAGGCAGTTAATGTGCGTTGCCCGTGGCCTGTTGCACGTTTGTATCGGTAAAGTAAACGCATTGCCCATTCACTAAGCTTGCTACAAGTGAACAACACCTGGACTTGCTCATGGATGGGAAAAGAAAGGATCCGCCACACGGCTTTGCGGCTGTGGACGCATCGTCCGCCCAATACTGTGCGATTTCATCGAGTTGTATGTTCAGATCCCTTTCCCTCTTTTCGTGTTGCAGGCCGAAAACAGTCATGTCGCTGCTTTTGCTGACGTACCTACAAATGTAGCAAATTCATTTCCCCCAATTGCAATTTTTCACGTTTATGTGAACTTCGTTTGCTTCTATAAGCAAAGGCGAATACGAAATAACCCAGTAGCTACCGACTTGTGCGTCACCGGTTCGCCTTCGTACGTTTGCCAAGTTACTGACGTCTTCCGCTGATAGTCTTCGGTATAAAGGACTTCCGTCGTTACCGGTAACTGTGGTGCATACGAATGCTCGAGGATAACTCTAAGAGCGTTTTCCGTCTATCATACCAGGGAGGGGGTGAGGGGAGAGGTAATTGGGACTCAGGGCACCGCAAAGTCCATTTAACATATTCTTCGCAGCGACTTCGGGCAAATTATTGCCAACGTCGGCGTCAGGTATATTGCGCATATTGTGTCAGCGAATTCGTTGGAGATGATCTTGTTATAAAGCCAGATTCAGACGTGTTCGTGGGACAGTCCCCCCTTTTACCATTTCCCCTAATGCATCCAGCAACGCACAGACCCAACCACCTCGTGTTTCACCATGAAGTTCAGCAGCGATTTCAGTTTCTTATTGAAAACACGTGCCATGATTTCATACCTATTTACCGTCGATAGCCCAGGAGGTAAGAGCTGATAAATATCCCCCAAGCTGGATTGCACGTGAATGTAATAAGAGGTCTGGACGCCCATACTGACAAACATAAGCAATTGCACCTAGAGCGTATCCGAGCATATGGCGTGGACTGTCTGCGTATGTGAAGGACGAAATCCGTGGTCTTACAACTCCATCTGTATTAACATCGTTTACAAATGCACCATGCAAAAGAATATAGTCCTCAGAGCGCAGCTTATTCTGATTCAAGCGAAGGAAAAGCAGGCGTCCTGTTCCGTATTTTTGCATACAGACCCACAATGCAGTGGTGAAGCAAAAGGGGGATTACTTACATTCTGTCGAATCATAGGAGTAGTGGTTCATTGCGCTGCATTTCGTGTGTGTTACCTCGACAATGACTGGATTTATCATCTTAAAGCTGGTCTGATATTCATCGGCACCATCCCGAAAAGTACATGAATACTGCGTTGAAATCGTTCTCCGACTGCCGGTATATATGGTATCACCTAACCCCACAATCATTAGTTTTCCAACGACTGTTGGCGCACCGTCGTTCACAACAGCATCACGCAGAGTGAATGCCATTCGGCCACTCATAGCTTGTTGTTTTCATCCTGTTGCTGAACGAAGCAGACCTGAAGCTGCAGAACGCGGTAGCCGTGACCGCAACTGGGCTGCCTCAAGTCGACCAGCACGACACTAAGTTGACACTGGGTGACGGGCCCCTTATGTGTTGTGTTTGGGGGGGGGGAGGGGGAAGGAGGCTTTGCTAACCGCATCCAGTCGTCGCGTCCGAAGCGGTGACAGCCCAATTATGTGGGTAGTGTGGGGCTAGTTCAAGTGGCGTCCAAGTGTTGCCTGTTTTTTGCCCCAGGGATGGTTTTCTTTGGCGGCCCATATTGCATCGGCGCAGAGATGGTGGAGGGCCTGCTCAAGTGCCTGCAGGGTGGGCGGTGAGGTGAGCGCGGCTGTCGGGTGGAGCACGTACGTCTGAGCGAATGCCGGTCAAGTGGCCACAGTCTGGGCGCACATGTGTCCGCGCGCGATGTAGGTCAAGTGGCCGCAGCAGATGGCGTTGTTATGGCGGAAAAAATCCGGTTTTCTACTCATCACAGGCATACCATGGGCATAATTACACAACTGACCAGCCAAAAACCCGGCTCTGTGCGCGGGTCGGGTTGTGTCCAAATTTCAGCGAAATCGGTGCAGTACTTTCGGAGATTAGATATAACACAGAAAAAAAATCCTTCCATTTTTATATATATAGATGACTATAAATTTCAAGAAAATAATAACTGTCAGTTTACGTAGACTTTGCATCCTCAAGGATACATGCACGACAACCAACCACGAAAACTGAACTGTCAGGTTTATGCCTAATATTATGACCGTTACAAACGAGGATGTCTCCGTGTGCCCTACGGACAGGCGCAAAATCGGTGAATTCTGTATGAATCAGTTTACGATGAAACAGATTTCCTCAGCACCCACGGATCCATCTCCTCTCTCAGCCACCTTGCTTCGGTGGCGAGAGAATCTTAAGACGATCGGAGGAGGATGATGGCTAAACGATCCGACTACGCGCGCCAGACACGACCTGGTCCTCAGTAAATGTGCCAGGCTTCTGCTAGGGCGGCTCCGATCTCACAGCAGTGAGAGTACCAAAAAAGGCCACGCTGGGAAGGGTCTACTGCAGCCTGACTCCCAGACTTAAGAAGGATCGAGTTAACCCGCCGGTTGGCAGCATTCCAAGGTACGAACATTGCCACATCGCAATAGATTCCAGTGCGTCGGATTCACTGTAGTGAGGGAGGCGCTGATTTGCCGGGCGAATTGGTTGCTCAGTATCGATCTCACTCTCTAAACAACAGCGCCACCTCAGCAAAACCCCATCATACATCTGGAAACTCCTCCATTAAACCTGTGACTGAAGGTCCTTCAGAATGTATTGGACAGTTAGGGTGAATTATTGTAATGACTGTAGAAACTGCACTCGATTTTTTTGCTTTGCCTATCTTTCTGAATTGGGCTTTCAGGTTATTTCCACTCCATACTTAACTGAATCTCAGGTCTACTAATACGGGCGAACATCCGACCGTAACACGTCCTCAGCCAAGCTGTCAAGGAGACTCGAGGAATCACGACAGATAATGTCACCGAAGAGTAAAGACGGGATAGAACTTAAGCGTCATCAGTCGACAGGTAGTTGTAACAAAGCAATGGAAAATGGAATTACTAAGATACAATTTTCGCCGTCTTCAATCAGCCCAGCCACTACCCTCGGCTGGCAGAACTTCAGCTTTTGGCCAGACTCATTCAGTAGTTGAACCGTGAGTTCTGTTACAGAGTCGTGCACAGCCCAGTTATTCGGGAGTATTAGCACTTGCAGGGAATTATCTGTTACTAAAGTATACCGATCGTAGATATGGATGTGAGCCTTTCCTACGGCCCTAGATCTCCGGATCTAAAGCTGGCACAGACAGTCGCATAGTGACTAATACTAAGTATTTAGGGGTGTAAGGTGTAGAAGTGTCTAATTAAGAGCAAGCCGTGTAGGTGTGGTAAGTTGCATAATTTACCTCGTGCACGGTCCTTAAATGACACCAAACTCTCATTTGAGACAAGGTGCGCCACAAGGTGGACATTGCTGCACTCGGTGGGACCCGCTTCTGTAAACAAGGCCAACTGGACGAGGTGGGTGACGGCTGCACTTTCATCTAGAGCAGCCGCCCAAAGACCAAGCGAAGAGGCGCTGGTGTCACCTATGTCATCCATAACAACATCGCAGGATAACTTCCTGTGTGTCAAATGGCATCAGCGACCGTCTCATAAGCCCGCAACCGCTTCTTAGAGGGACCAAATTCGCTACCGTCATTGGCGCTTACGCCCCCTTTGACCTGGCCCGATGAGGCGAAGACTAAGTCCTATGAGGACCTACACACCTTTCTTACGGCTGTGCCAAAGGCGGTCAAGTCTAACGTTCTAGCTGATGTCATTTCCCGCGTCGAGACAAATATCGCTGCCCTGGATGGAATGCTGTGTCCTCATGGTGTCAGCGACCGTAAATAGAACGCCTTCTCCTTCTACGAAACTGCGCAGAATATTGTATCCGCCTGACTAAGAGCTTCTTCCTTCGGACGCAGGAGAAGGCGACCTGGATGCATACCCGATTGCGGCGCTGGCAGCTGCTGGACTATGATCTCGATGGGTGGCTGGATCGACAGGATGTGCTGGTGCCCAGGGCTATCTGAGACGCCGATGGCTGGATGAATCACTGCTTTGTCATTTGCAAGATGACGCTTCGACTGAAAGCCTGCGGGAGACTACAAGGTAATCAGACACCAGGTAAGTTAAATTCTGTCCTGCTGGATTTGTCTGGTCACCGCTTTGATTTCAGAGATGAACTTGCTCAGTGCCAGAAAAAGCTGTAGACCTCGGACCACAACGCCACTGTGCAGAAACAGTGGTGTCAACTGCCGAGAACGATTCAGCCCACCGCCCGTGACATCTTTGGTATCTCAAGTCGTCAACGACAACGACGACGAAATTCGAAATCTGCTCGCCAAGAAGGGTAGGCTGCACAAAACCCACATCGACCGCCGTAAGACGCAAAAGGCGGTCTTCTTCCAATGTCGCCGATCGATGCAACAGCGGCTGCGGAGGGTTTGCGACGTCTGGATGATGCGCAAAGTCAAAGAAATCCAAATATACGGGGACCGCAATGAAACAAAGAATTTATTCGTCCCTCTCAAGGTAGTCCACGGTTTCCGCACCAAAGGAACCGCGTCGTCGCTCAGTTCCGACACGTTAACACCTATTATAAAGGAGTCGCAAATTTTGATGCGCTGAGCCGAGCACCTCAGCAGTATTCTCAATCGACCGTCCACAATGCTCACTGCCGCCGTCAACCGGCTCCCTAAGTGGAAACGAATGATGACATGGACCTCCTGACTTCTATCACAGAAGCAATCATAGCTGTATACCAGCTATCCAGCGGGAAAGCGTCTGGATTCGGCGCGATCCCGGTCGAAGTCTACAAGCGTAACGGTCTCGCTGATCGACAAGCGTAAAATGACGTTCCAGAAGATGTGGCATCAAGGACAAGTTCCCCAGGGTTTCAGGGACGTCCACCTCTACGGGCAAAAAGGAAACCGACAACTTCGGGATCACCACAGAGATACCGCACTGTTCGTTGTTGCGGGGAAGATCTCCGCTCGCATCATCCTCGAACATCTAAACGGTCATCTGGAATACGGGATTCTCCTGGAAAACCAGTGTGGTTTGAGACGATACTGTGGAACCACTGATGTGATCTTTATTGCTCGCTATAAGCAAGAGATGTGCCAGGAAATGCGTGGCATATTTATGGACGCCTACCGTGATCAGCGCTCTGGGATCGGCATCGTCAACAGGGCCGGCGATCATCCCCTCATTACCCGGCGCATGCAGGCTCCAACGCGTCTTTCCACAGCTACTGTCTACGACCCGTTCTTCGTGGAAGATTGCGCGCTCAACGCCGCGACAAAATTGGATGTGCAACAAAGCATAACTCTCTTGGCCTTCGGCTGCGCAAACTTCGGGCAGACGTCAAACACGGATAGAACAATCGTCATGCACATGCCGTCGACCAACGCTGAGAAGCACAACTCTCGCATCACTGTCGGCGGCAGCCAACTCCAAACAGTAGATGATTTGGCGTATTTAGGCAGTAAACGCACGTAACACCAAAATCACGGACGAAATTGGACAGCGAATATACAAAGTCAGTCAGACCTTCGACCAGCGACAGGCCTTATTGTGTAGTCGCCATAATTTCTATCTCATCATGAAGCCGTCAGTTTGACAACATTAGTAAACAGAGCCAAGATTAGGACCATGTACACCAGCTAAGTCTATAAACTCAATTAATTCCACTACAGCTGCCTCCGGAGAATACTGAAGTTGGAGTAGCAAGACGGGATCTCGGACAATGAGGTCTTGAAATGGACCGGAATTCTTCGCGTGCATGCCATTCTGGGGCAACTGCAAATGCTATGGAGCGGTCCCAACGTGGTGATAAGCGACAAACGTCCAGTCAACCGACTGTTCTATGGAGACGTCACTAAAGGTGCTCGCTAACAAGGAGCGCAACGGCGACGCTACAAGGACAGCCTGCGGATCTCCCTCAGGGATTTAAAAATCAATCTGGATACCTGGGAGCATCTCACCTAGGAGTGACTGATCTGAAGAAGAAGAACAGTGAAGACTGGATCAACAACCTATGAGGCCAACCGGGTCACCGCTATCAAAACCAAAAGGGTGGCTTGCAAGTCTCAAGCACGTCCGACTCACAACATCCGCGCTCAACCTCCCCCAACATGTTCACACTGTCAATGGACGTTCTAGATATGGATCGGCCTTGTCGGACATTTCCGGGTCCGATGCGATAAAAATCCGACAACTCCATCTGCTGCATCTGCAAACACATCAATCATCACCACCGCACTGACTTTCACGGTGTCCACGACGGCTATCACCATCACCATCGGTAACTACCTCCCCAAATATCCTGCGGCTGCTGCCGACGTCGTCGACCACCACCATCCCCTCCACTGTCAGCAATGAGGATCCGATCCCGACAAATAAGTACCAGGAACTCCCACATATATCCGCCGCATCCAACTCAGCGGCCTGCACTGCCCACGCACATTCGCTCGCCGCATGGACCCACACGACCAGAGGCGCACACAAGACAACGGGAGTCATTGCTCTATCGACTCACCAATCCCACCGCGCACGAAAGACAGCTCTCCCATCTTCTGGACTTCCAATCCACCCTCCAGCAGCGAGAACACTAGCAGCATCACCAGCGCAACCGGCGCAGCAACTCCCAGCTTATCTCGCCATCGTAAATGCATTTGACGCATCGGCCTAGTCGGTCATTTGCGAATTCATCGTAAAAACAGCCAAACCAGTGCCATAAGCAACGATATAAACCCGCCGCATTTAACTCCGCTAATCGCACACCATTACACACACTCAGCCATCGCATGGGCCTACTTGGCCAAATACGCATTCATGAAAAACTGCAGGAAAACACCGTCGGTCAGACCAAATCATCACATACTGCCTAACTGGCACAAACACTAATCCGTCTCACATCTCTCCCCACAAGCGCGTAACAGGCCCCTTTCAAGTGAATGAGGAGCGCACTCTTTGGCTTCTGCTCCAAGTGGCCTCTATGGCATTCTAACGCATATAGAACCGGAGCAGCTTAAATCCTTTCGTGTGACAACCTCGTGTATTGCGTTGGGGGCATGATCGTGTAGAAAGAATAGACGGGCTGTTTAGCGCTGTCAGCTACTTCATTCGATCTCAAAAGCAGTTGACGAACCGGTTTCGACAGCCGACTAAGGCCCAGATGGGGAAAACGACATTAAGGTCAACTCTCAGATCGTACTTCTTACTATAAACAATCCAACGCTCTTAAATATATATATATATATATATCGATATGCGTAAAGATTCGAGGTCCAGACATTGTATCGCGTTCATCATCTCCCGAAGAAGACGATTTACGTGCCGCTTGGCCCCTCCCACGTCAGCCGGTGGACTGATCGGTCGTTGCTGTTCAGGTGAGCAGCATTCAGCTTCGCGGGTGCATGGGTGAGACAGTGTTCGGCTTTGGTCACATGACCTCTGGCCCCCAATTCCGCTCT